CCAGACTCTGTTTAAAAGCATCTAAAGAAGGAGCGTCTACCACAATCCAGGGAAGAGAATTCCACTGCTGAACAGCTCTCACAGTTAGGATTTTTTCCCTCGTGTTCAGGTGGAATCTTCCTGTAGTTTGAAGCTGTTGTTCTGTGTCCTAGTCTCCAGGGCAGCAGAAAAAAAGCTTGCTCTCTCCTTCCCATGACTTCCCCTCCCCTCTTGATCCATGGCTCTCATCATGTCTCCTCTCAGCCTTCTCTTCTGCAGGCTAAACATGCCCAGCTCTTTAAGCCACTCCTCATAGGACTTGTTCTTCAGACCCTTGACCATTTTAATCACCCTCCTCTTGTCACATTCCAGCTTGCGAACATTTTATTTCAACTGCGTTGGCCAGAACTGGACACAGTGTCATTCCAGGGGTGGTCTGACCAAGGCAGAATAGAGGACTAGCATGACTTCCCTAGATCTAGGCACTAGACTTCTACTGATTGGCTCTTTAAACTGCCACATCACATTGTTGGCTCATGTTTAACTTATCCATGAGTTGTCCAGATTAGGAGGAGTCACGTTCCTGTATATGAATACAAGTCAACATACTCAAAGCATGTTCAAAAGGGATTTCTGCAGGAATAAGAGGGGCTAGATAATCATGCTCCTGTCTCAGCTGAGTTGGATTTACTGTGGGAGAACCCATTTTATGAGATGCGTGTGATTTGTCTCACTTTCTGTCTCCTTTTCGTCCTCTTCCCACCCCCACCCCTGTCTTCTACTTACTTCCTTTGCTCGAAACTTAGTTCAAAGTGCCAAAGTCGTTTACACATAATTCAGCCAATGCAAATAGGGGAGGGGAGGGTGTGGAATCTTTCTCTTCCCAGCAGGCTCAGGCAAAAGTAAACTGCTGCAGCTTCTCCAAGCTTGTGTGCTCTTTCTCCTTAATTGCCATCTTCACCAATTCTGATGTTGCTTGGGCACATGTGTTCCATTTTTTACCAGTCAAAGGTTATTCCCCTGTGACCATTTTGCCCCTGATGCTATGCTGGCTTGTCCATTGCTCTCACCTATGTGTATATAGTTGCAGCAATGGACAGGGTCATAGCCTCGCCCTTCAAGTCTTTTTGAATATAGGGATTTTTTTTCTTGAGTTTCTGAATGAACTGTCAATGGATGTGACTTTAACAGAGAGCTAATAGCCTTCCAGGCTGATGACAGAAGTACCTATCAGTCTTCATACTCTAGGAAAAGCCTAGGTCATTGGGGTGAACATTAGAACAAACACTCCAGAGGCAGCCAAAAGGCTATGGAGTGAGAGACAGAAAAAGAAATTCACTTTGGGAAAGTTTTAGTGCTGGTTCATTATAGCTGTGACCTCGGGAAGAGACGTGGAACAAAGGCCATGGATTGATTGCCGTCTTCCCCGTGGGGGATTTGGTGTCCCAGATACCGGAGCACAGGGGCTAAATTATCTGTCGGCAAGATGGAGAAATAAAACCAAGAGTCTGGCTAGAGAGGAAGTCTTGCTATCTGTCGTTCGAGAAGCGACTGCCAAAGCTTATCCATGCAAGTGAGCTCACTTTCAGAAGTTCCTCTGATGGGGAGAACGAAAGACATGCAAATTCTTGAACGTGAGATTAGAACAAAACTTCTCTGACTAGTTGTACAACTGTTTTTTGCACAGCTGCTAAAAAAACAGAGGGGCGACTTGCATAAAGAGAGTGCCTTGCCCCCCCCCCCCATGTGAAATTGGCAGCAGAGGAAAAAGCAAGAAAGGATGGCCAAGTGACAGCTTTTTTAGGTCTGAGACATCAGAGTATTTTAGCTCCCCATTCAGGGGCGGCTCAACCCATTACGCAAAGTAAGCATTTGCAGTATAGTTGATTTTGCCCAGGGGCACTCTTGAGGTGCTGTTGGGGGAAAATAGACCTTGACATATGCGAGTTGTAGTTATTGGGATGTATAGTTCACCTACAATCAAAGAGCATTCTGCACTCCACCAATGATGGAATTGAACCAAATATGGCACACAGAACTCCCACGACGAACAGAAAATATATATCAGTGATTGGTTGGGGGTGCCAAAATACTGTTTGCTTACAGTTGAAAATTACCTAGAGCCGCTTCTGTCCCCACTCCAAATCAGATGCATAACAATGGACCACAAAAATTAGGATGAAAATGTGGAAGTTAATGGGTCAATGTGTTTGGTTACATTTCAGTCTCATCGCCAGTGTATATGTCATTGTGTGTGTATGCACACACACACTTTTAAAAGCTACCACTAATAATAAGTGGCATGATGCTTTGGACTTGAATTTTCACCTTTGGCTTTGTTGAGTGCAGCTTCTGGGGAAAAGATTTGGGACACCCAAGGATTGCCTCCAAAAAAGTTTGGGAACAATCCTGTTGTGATTTTATGCTAGAATAAATGCTATTTCACTTGTACTTTCTTGGAGGTTACAGAAGGGGGATGGCCTTGTGCAACTGTGCAAGCCTTTTTACACTGTGAACTGTGCAAGCCTTTTTACACTGGTGTAAACTGTCGAAAAGTGCTGCCTAGGAGGTTTGGTGCCTGTACTCCTCGGCGGTGAGTGGAGTTTTTGGAGTGACTGTTGTATGAATTGGGTCAGGATTACGATTTCAGATTTGCATATGTGTGTGGTGATAGTGGGGAAGCTATTATTCCTGGACTAGATAGATGTTTCCATCTGTCTAATAACTTGTCCCATACTTCCTACACAGCCAAATCTCTTGTGTGGGGTACTTTCACATTGTCACCATTGAAATAAAAAAGGCGTTCAGTCTGGGGTTTTTTTTAATGTCAGGAGTGACTTGAGAAACTGCAAGTCACTTCTAGTGTGAAAGAATTGGCTGTCTGCAAGGACGTTGCCCAGGGGATGCCCAGATGTTTCCATCAAAGTCAACCATCTTGCACAACTATGGCTTGGAAGTTATGCAACTTCCAAACGCTAATATAACAGCATTTCTGCTAGTTTAAAGCCACAATAGGATTCCAGCAAACAGTTAAATGAATTAAAACAGGTGGCCTTTCGGTGGGAGCCGGATTTCATTTACCACCAGTCCCATCTACTCTGGCCAGTGATGAGCTGAATGACAAATTGACCTGCTGGTGCTGAAAGAGAGTCATCCATTATTAAGGGTATTTTTTTTTTTCATGTCAGGAGCAACTTGGGAAACTGCAAGTCACTTCTGGTATGAGGGAATAGGCCGTCTGCAAGTACGTTGCCCAAGGGACGCCCGGATGTTTTGATGTGTTACTGTCCTTGTGGGAGGCTTCTGTCATGTCCCTGCATGGGGAGCTAGAGCTGACAGAGGGAGCTCATCTGCGCTCTCCCTGGATTAAAACCTCTGACCTGTCAGTTTTCAGTCCTGCCGGCACAAGGGTTTAACCCACTGCACCACCGGGGGCTCCTTCATTCTGTCTGGTGTCAGTGGAGAGTACTATTTGTCTCAGGCAGTAAAATACCTTTGGCTAGGCCAGGGGTCCTCGAACTTCTTAAGCAGAGGGACAGTTCATGGGGATGGGGGAACGAACGGGATGGGACTATAATTTTTTAAAAAAATGAATGAATTCCTATGCACACTGCTCATATATTTGTAGTGCAAAAAACATGAAAGAATAATACATTATTTAAAATGACAAACAGTTTTAACCAACTTAAACTTATCAGTATTTCAGTGGGAAGTCTGTGTCTGCTTTTGGCTGATGAGATAGCCAGGTTAATTTGGATTGTTGTTGTTGTGTGCCTTTAAGTCATTTCAGACTTAGGGCAACCCTAAGGTTAAAGTTTAGGGGTGGGACCGGGGAAATGATCTTGGAGGGCCCCATCTAGCCCATGGGCCTTAGCTTGCAGACATCTGGGCTACCCCTTACAGAACACTTTGTATACCTATACTAATGTTGTATGTTGTCTCTTATGTGCCTTCAAGTTGGCTCCAAATTATTCATTTATTATTTATTTATTTATTGCATTTATATCCTGCCCTTCTCACCCCAAAGGGGACTCAGGGTGTCTTACAAAACAGGCACAGTTAGATGCCATATATACATATATAAAATAATATGTATACATTAAAACCAGTAATTAAACCATATCCATCTTAAAACAGTTAATTAAAATCACAATCCAAAGGCATATTCCAGGAGCCATTCTGGTTGTCAATTATGGAACATAAAGACTTATTGCACTGAGAATTATTGTCCAAAGGTTTGGTTCACAGCCGAGGGGTCATCACTGAAAAGGCCCTGTCTCTTGTTCGCACCACTCGCGTCTGCGAAGGAGGCAGGATTGAGAGCAGGACCTCCCTAGACAATCTTAACCTCTGAGATGGTTCATAGAGGGAGATAAGTTCGTACAGATAAGCTGGACCGGAACCATTTAGGGTTTTATAGACCAAAGCCAGTACTTTGAATTGCACTTGGTAGCAGATTGGCAGCCTGTGGAGTGGATGTAACAGGTGGGGTGTATGCTCCCTGTACGCCACTCTAGTAAGCAACCGGGCTGCTGCCTATTGGACTATTTGAAGCTTCCAAACAGTCTTTAAAGGCTCATTGTAGTAGTCTATTTGGGATGTAAAAAGAGTGTGGACTACCATGGCCAAAGCTGACTTCCCAAGGTACGGGCACAACTGGTGCATAAGTTTTATGCAAAAGCTTCCCTGGCCACCACCGAGACCCAGGGTTCCAGGTACAGTGATGTGTCTAGGAGGACTCCGAAGTTACGACTTTATAGCAACATTGTGCTCAGATTTTTTTGATGATATGTATTCAGACGGGGGATTCACAAGGGTGTAACTTGCCCAAGGTCACCCAGTGGGTTTCCGTGAATGAATAGGGTTTTGAACCCTGGTCTTCTGGAATCTTAGGCCAATACTCAGAGCACTTATTATTTTGGAACAATATGGTATCATATGGCATAGTAATACAGAATTGTACTATGCAGCTTAGTGATATAAAATAGAAGTTAAACTTTCTGGCAATTTCTGGTTTTCAGGGTGAACATCTCCTCCTATGAGATCCTGCAGATGGACTTTGAAATTGACAACAGCAGTGGGCTAGTTGGGGTCCAGCAAATCACTTGGCAGGTTGAATACCCTCGAGATGATGCTGTGAGTGAGCTTGTGGTCTCGGAGATCTTTGTCAGCCAAGCAACATTTTCCGGAATTGTTCCACTCGCAATGGTAAGCACTCTTTTTTAAAAGTTGTCATTAAGACCAGAGCCTGGAAAAGTAGCGACAACTCCCACAATACTCCAGCCAACATGCCCATCATCCATGCTGCCAGGGATCTTCTGGGAGTTGTAGTCCACAATATCACTTTTCCAACCTCTATTCAGGATTCTAGGAAGTAATCTTCCATTTGATTTTTGATATGAAGGTACAGTAGAGTCTCACTTATCCAGCATAAATGGGCCAGAAGAACGTTGGATAAGCAAAAATGTTGGATAATGAGGAGGAATTAAGGAAAAACCTATTAAACATCAAATTACGTTATGATTTTACAAATTAAGCACCAAAACATCATGTTTTACAATAAATCAACAGAAAAAGTAATTCAATACATGGTAGCGTTATGTAGTAATTACTGTATTTACAAATTTAGCACCAAAATATCACAATGTATTTAAACAGCTGTGGATCCGGATGGGAGGCAGACTGTGTTGGATAATATGGAACGCTGGATGAATGAAGGTTGGATAAGCAAGACTCTACTGTATATGGGAGTTGAGACAGGGGAAGGACAAGAAATAATATTTGAGAAAGACTTAAATTGTGAAGATGTTCAGTTTTTTAAATCCTACTTATGTAATTTTGTGTCTTTTGTCAACATTTTTACCTGGGTATTCTTTTTTAAACAACATCTATCAGCTTTCTGGATAATCCCCGTCAGTTGGTGAGCAGATAATTGAATGGGATGACATCACGATGATATACAGATGTACATAAATTATGGCACTCTTCAACTAACGTCAGCCAATTTAGTAAAAATACTGCAAAGGAAACATTTCTAGAGACATCACCAAAAACTTATTAAAATTGACAATGCCTATGTGTGTGTGTTGTCATGAGTTATGCTCAAGAAATATGATTTGCAAGGAAGCTTTTAGGCATGGAGCCTTCTCTTTTAAGCCAGAATCTACAACAAAAGGCAGGGTAGGGAATGATATCCTGGATCCCTGGCCACCTTGGAATAAGTCAAGCCCCATATTAAAAGTGCAAAGTCGAATTTTCTTTTGAAGCTCATCCCTCCTGCTGATTAAAAAAATGTCCTCACTGTTGCATTCAAGAGAGCAATTAGTCCTTAAGTATTTTGTTCACTCCAATTGGATTTTGCCAAACTGGCTCAGAAACCAGGAGCTCTCTTTTGTTTCAGGCACCATGTTAGGCTTCAAATTTTGCCATTATATTGGGAGGCATCCTTCATTTGGAAGTCTGTCTCCATTTTATTCAGACAACATGTTGGGCTTCATGCCTTTGGGCTGTTGTTGCCTCAGGCTGGGGCCAATCTGGAGGGGACCATGTGGTCTTCTCATGTATCTGAGAGCCCTCCAGTTTCTGCCTGGTCAGGCTCATGGCCTAACAAAATAGAAGGCATCAGATCTGGTCTGTTCTGGAAGCCAAGTAGTCATACAAACTTGCTGCAGAGATCTCTAAAGGGGAGGAGCAGGGTAAGTTGGTGGGAAATGAGGTTTCAAAGAGAAAAGCAAAGAAGGGGGAACAAGAAACAAAGCTGTTGTTATGCTGAGGAAGAGTGAGCCATGACATAGATGAAAGAAAGATCCAATTGTTTCAGAAGTTGTGGTGTGAACAAACAGAATTATTTCTTACTTGGAGAGCTCTGCTGAGCAATTTCAGGAACCAGGGAAATATTATATGAGAAGGATCCTCATATTATATCTCCCAGAGCATCCAGAGGGTTAGGTACAGCATACTAACTATACTATCCATATTTGTCATTGTCTGAATAAGGTGCCATTGCAACTTGAAAAGTGATGACTATGTTTAGTCTCATTGAAATTTTAAAGTTGTTGGGTAAATTTGAAGTTCAAACTTCTTACCATTCCTACTCATGGAATTAACTGGAAACTGAAATGTGCTCATTCCAGTGTTCACACTCTGACTTGCATTCTTGAGTGTCCACCAAAGTTTATCAATTGGCACAGATTTCAAGTGTTTCCAACAGATGTTGTGGTATTCTTTTGTAACTATAAATTACCAATTAACAGTTATGTTTAATTATTTTAAGACTTGAAACTTTGTAACTAAAATAGAAATTGGATTTAATTAAATCTATACAAAAATATAGAATGAACCATATAATTTAAATTATTTTGTGTTGTGGAACTACTCTTCATGATTTGCTAACAAAAAGTTTCAGCCCCCAACCCCCAAATTTCTTTTCTGGCTACGGTCCTGCTCAGAAGAGTACACTTTATTGTGCAGTTACCAGAGATGTGGGCAATATCTGAAAGAGAGCAAATATTTATACTGGATTAGCATTTGTCTGATGTGTTGCACCTCCATTGTTTTAATCTCCCCGAGTCACTAAGAATCATTAGAATCCATTACAATAGGGTGACCGGCAGAGGTCATGTTCACATCTGCCCCTTTGCACATGGACTTTTTTTTTTTGCACATGAGGCGCAAACCACCCTGAGTCCCCTTCAGGGTTGAGAAGGGCGGTATACAAATATCGCAAATAAATAAATAAATAAATAAATAAGCTTTGCACCCATCACTTTAAACACTTGGAACATTGTCTCTTGAACTACCCATAGAATAATATTAAGGTCATGTTTTGCCCTACCCAGAAGTGTCTCCTTCACACCAGGTGAACGCCTCAAATTTAGGAACAGGGAGATGGGCATTATATTTATTTATTTATTTATTTGTTTGGGACATTTATATCCTGTCCTATTCCGACTTTCGCAGAGGGACTCAGGGCGGCTAACAACAAAAAACATAGACATACATATTAAGTAAAAACAGTATAAAACATTGTAAAAACATTAAAACAATTGCCAATTTAAGTCATCATCCTAAAAGCAGTCCATCAGAGTCCATTAAAACCATACCTTTGCCATCAAGTCAGTCTAGTCCACAAAGGCCTGATCCCACAGTCAGGATTTCACTTTTTTTTCCAGAAAGTCAGGAGGGATGGAGCGGATCTGATTTCACTTGGGAGGGAAATAATAAAGACTCAGGCATGTAGCCGGGGGGGGGGGGGGGGGGGGGGGCTTCAGCCCCCCCCCCCCCCCGAAATTCTCATGGTTCGCGAAAAGGCCTTACTGGTGCATTATTTAAACTGTTATGTTTATTCATATCATGATCTGATCACCATCCTCAATATATCCCATATGCATGGGGGTATTGGGGTAATGATACAAAAGGTTTGCTAGGGTAGACCCTCTTTCACTCAGACTCACCCCCCAACTCAGCCCCCCCAACCCCCCTGAAAAACTCAGCCCCCCCCCCCCCCCCGAATCGAAATCCTGGTTATGGGCCTGTAAAGACTGATTCCTCAGTGCACAAAAACAAAGTCAGATTTCCATAGAAGCAAGAAGGAATCTGCAAAGGTTAGACAGAAGCAAGAGAAAATCTCCAAAGTCTCCACAGAAGGAGAGCATAATCTTCAGGAGCAAAGGATCCCCAGAAAGAAAGGGGGGGGGGGAGGGAGGGAGCTAGGGAGAGAGCCTTCGTCATATGGTCTCTTTCATCCAGAACCTGCTTCCCTTCCTTTTTTTGGACTTTACCTCCTATTAGAGAATGAGAAAATTAATTATTATTTATTATTATTTACTGTATTTATACCCCGCTCTTCTCAACCCCGATGGGGACTCAGAGCAGCTTACAGATTATGGCAACATTCAATGCCGCATCATACAACAATTAAAACATATAAATGCAATAAGTACAACAACAAATAATAAATATAACATATCAAATTATAAAACAATTTAAACATATAAATGCAATAAAACAAATTAAAAATATTTTTAACAGAGCAGATGTTCCATCAGGGGAAGAATGAGATGCTAAATCGGGGTGGCAGTGTTCACTCAAGAGAGGGCTCAGGTTTGTTTTAGGAGATTATCACGCTGTTACATTGCTGTTTGTTTTAGGAGATTATCATACTGTTATGTTGCTGTTATTCCACTTTAACTGCTGTTGAATCCCGGAATTACAGTTTCAACCTTTAAAATTCTCAGCCAGAGAGGTCCTGGGCCTCACGAAACTACAACTCCCAGGATTCTACAGAAGAATGCCACTGGATTTAGAGTGTCATAACAGCGCTGTAACAGCATAGCATGATAATCTCCAAACTCTGATGCTGAGCGGCACCCTGTATAGCCTCTTTAGATTGGTCAAGAGTAGGAGGTTTTTTTTGTAGCTGTCTCTTCCCTGTGATAAACAGCTTGCAGTGAACACAAATCTATTTCATTGGGTTCCCACTGGTATCCTTTTCTGTCTTCTTAATAAAGAAGTAATTGTTTTTGCTTCCAAATCAACTTGTCCTTGACCTGATTTCTTTTCCTTTTTGGAGCTATTTTGGTTAATTACATACTTTGAAAACCTTTAGCCTGCAAGATCCTGCAGCGAGTCAGTGCCAGGAAGAGCTCTGTGTCCAAACCGGTATACCCAGTGCATTGCTCTTATCAGTTTGTGTGTGTGACTACTCCCCAAGAAGCAGCAAGTAGCTCAGGAACAGCTCAGAATTAAGAATTCTTATTTGTTTGTTTTCAAGGCAAGGAGAGATTTTTGCTAATTTGCATCTGCAGCAGGAAGGTTTAAATGTGCAAAATAAATACATTTGAATAAGATTTTATTTACTTGACATACAGTAACAGCTCCTTGGAAACCATTAGAGCCTATTGTGTAAATCTTTTTCTCTGTTTGGGGATTAGGGGCCCAGTACATGGTAATAGCTCATCGGGAGCTGTTTCCTTCCATTGTGTTAATGGGATCGCTCGGAATCCATGCTGTGGCGATATGCTACAATTAGTTGTGGCATTTTTATTTAAATTAATTACCTGGTGTGTGTCAGAAACTTCTTTTCAGAAGCAACATTGAGCCATTGTTGAGGGAGAGGCTCACTCCCCCTCCTATCCTAAACAGTTTCTGGTTTTAATTCATGGGCTTGCTGTGTTCTGTTAATAAAAAGAGCAACATGCAAAGGTGTT